TACATATATGCATGCACAAACATGCCTTGCTACCATATAAAACTCTTGGCTGGTTATTTATGCTCTTTAATGTCAGTACAATTGTTCAGTTGCAGTTGCTGTGCAACTCGTCTGAGCGGCTGTCTATGTATGTGTATGTGTGTGTGTATGTGTATGTGTGTGTATGTGTATGTGCTTTTTTTTTTTGTATGTAAATGTGTCTATTTGTGTACGACGGCACTGTATATTTTAATACGCGCTTATAACGTTTTTGTTATGGAATTTATTATTGCATAAGTTTTGTTTTATTGTTTTATTTATTCAGTTTTCCATTTATTTTTTTATTTTTGTTATTATTTAATGTGTGGCGTCTTTTTATTTTTTTTCTTCTTTTGTAATAATTTTTTTTTTTTTTTTTCAGAAAAATGTGAGATAGATACAATAACCTAAATACTCCTTAAATACTAGGTCTTGGAGATAAAAATGCGATGTATTTCTGCGATGTATGTATGGCTTTTAATGTTATTTTTATGTATTTCAGAAACAAAAATGTTGTTCATCAGGATCCTCGTAGATTCTCTCTTTTGACGAAGTTTGAAAACATTTGTAAGAGAGTAAAGTTAGCCATATGACCCCATAAGGGCTATTGTCAGTGGGTGCAACGATCTTCGGTGGACGGATTTAACATTCACAAAGACTTACGCCTTAGTTAGCGTTGTCACGGAACTGTGCTCAAACATTTGATAATGCATGACGTATTGCGCAACTGAAATCAAACGATCATCGAATTCGACATAACCTAAATATGAGCATTTTTAGTCACCTCAAGAGAAATATAGATATTTTTCATCAAAATTTCCTAAAAAAAAAAAAAAAAAAACCAAATAAGGCTAAACTAACAGCCCGTAACTTTACACCTATTACACCTGTTCCCATGAAAATTCTCTCCACAGTATGAGATGAATTTTCTCTTTCAACTAACGAGACCAAAGTCAACTTCTGGAAAACGAAATTAATACAAGATTTACATTATCGTTAACTATATCAAATTTTCGATTTCATGTCCTCTAAAACTACTTTGACAGACACTACGGGAACTTATCTCGAGAGAGAATTACACTCAATCATATTTCACGCGTCCATCACTGGCAATTTAAAAGTTCTTTAGAACTTAGCTAATAGAAGCCTAATAACGTTATAAAATCCATTAGCAATCGTTTTTATAAAATCGTAAAAAGAAATTTGTTGTAGATATAAACGAATATCGATTACCCGACGCAGTTAAATGCATAGAAGAAAGCTTCTATAAACATACGTTAGTCATACTTCCTTTACTTATTATTGCATATAGAATGAATTTAAATTTATGTGCGTATGTATGAATTTTTTTTATTTAAATTTTTCTTCTTTTTTTTTTTTTTTTTTTAGTTTTTGCTTATATATTAGGTGAAAGGAACATTTATGGAGAAAAATTGATCCCATATATAATAAATTAATCAAAATATATTCCATCATTTTCCATCTCATTTTATCATATTGCAGGCAGCATGGCCATGTCGTGTCGATCGAACTTATACTGGTTTGGCAGTACGAAACCAACCATCAACCCATTCGCGCACTCTCCTTTACAGCTCCTTTCAGGTTAAGTCTAGAAGCGATTATGTTGACTATCAAGCCTCATTGCCCTACCAGTCAATACCAGAGGACACGATTACATATAGCAAGTTCTCTAGAGGCTGCCAGATTCGTGATGAGAATGAGCCAACTAGTCATACGGGACGCTTCTACTTCTATCTTACTAGAGCGATCCCAGGTACCATCAAATTATTGTTTCATGATTTTTGAGACAAATCTCTTATTCTTGCGTCGATCAAGATTGATTAGAGAGTTCGTATGGTTAACTTGTTATTTTCCGTCATTCACATTTTTATCTACGCTGTCTCATACTGAAAAAAACCTTTTATAAGTAAATATGAAATGTGTTTTTACGATACGGGCCGCCGTTACACCTTAATTTATGCTTGATTAATAAAATGATTTCTAAAAGCTATTAATAACCATTCGTTCCGTGTATCGCGGTAAAGAGCAGTGACTACGGTAACAATTTGATTCGTCGTGTTTTTGCCTTTCAGTGTAATACTTCCGAATTGTAAGTGAAATGGACCGCGCATAAGTACATTACAATATTATATATAATACATGTAAAGTTATGCGCAACAAGGGTAGCTAGCAAGCATAACATAAGTACAACAGTACTAACAATAACACGGCGATGTTGTTTAAAAATAAACTTAAAAGGAGCACAACTCGGCGAAAGAAATAAAAAGTGAATTTTATAAGAAGAAGACAAATAAAAAGAGAAAGATATAACAAAAAAAAAAAAACAACGAGAGAGCATTTGTGTGTGTGTGTGTGTGTGCGAGAGAGAGAGAGAGAGAGAGAGAGAAAAAAAAGAGAAAGACAAAAAACCAGAAAAAGACGATTCATTCACAAACTTGAAAACACTCGAAAGATACAAGAGCATGTTTGTAAGTCAACACAACACAGGAAGCCAACCAAGTTGTTATGTAATATGCTTGAAAACTATTAAAGGCAAAACGTAGAAGGAAAAATCAAACTAAAGAAAGAGGAAAGAAAAGTTATAAAACATAAGAAATTGTATGCACCACAAGTGATATTATCATCATTTTTCGGATGTATAGGTTTAAAAAATGCGAGAAAGGAAAGGCAAGCTATTCCAGTTTTCAAACCAAAAAAGGAGAAATGTCAATATTAAGTTCAAAGCCAAGTTCAAGACAAACATTATTCCTTCAGGCATCGTTAATAATCGGCATCGGAGAGTATAATTTATTTATTTATTTTTTTTTTTTTTAAGAAAAAATTCCTTAATATAAGTTCATTTATTTTTTATCTGTATAATGGAAACAAAAAAAAAACTATACCAGAGTTGGATTCACCTTAAGTATAGATGTATAATAATCTTCGTAATACATAATTTCCATTATTTTTAAGTGCGTTACAAATGATCTGTTGGTGGGACCGTATTTTTATCATACTTCCTGTGTCGACATTCTAGGCCACATTTTTTAGTACTATAAAGGTAATAGTCCGACTAGTATGGGCATAGGCTTAATGTGATCGAGATAATAATTTAATTATTTTAACTTAATTAAACACTTGATATGCTCTAAATAACATCGGACCTTACCCTCAACACCTGAATATACGAATCCAACTATCAAGATATGATAAATTTTGCCATATATGCCATTTGAAGGCTAGTGTTGCAAGCTAGTCGATGAGCAAAAGCACCTACACCTCAGATTGTTTATTGCTAGCACATTTTTGAGCACATTCATTTCTTAACCAGGTCTGCGATGTTGAACGCCAATAGTATAGTATTTGTTTCAACAAGCTAAACCAAATAAAGATTTTTCCGTACTGTGAAGATTTGCAAGCCAACGTGACTAACAGTTGGCAACTCTTAAGAAAGTGCTTCGAACACTGATTTCATTGCCGTCCAAACCGTAGTTAATTCTTCAGCGTTTACATGCCGCTTTACGGTCCGAGTTTTTTGCGAAATCGCTAGCAACACATGAAATAATAATTTTTAGACATAATGATGCGAGAACGTTGATGCATTTGAAATTCAAAACTGATGATATCTGATTTATTATAGGGTATCATAAATTTTACTTTCTTTGTCTGCAATATCGCTCATCTGATGTTAAATATCATTTTCGATCCACGAACACTGTGTTCATTTTGTCAAAATCGTACCTATGAACGATATTTCAGGGACGCTAGCAAGTCAATATATTATTGATTAGTCAAAAAAACTCTAGGCATATACATCCATTCATCTGTGTGCTTGCCTATGGTAGATATACTGCTGGTCGTCAAAATTAAAATATCGTGGTCATGTTTGACAAATGATCGATAAATCGATCAATAGAGACGCTTGCATAGCGCAGTATAAAGTTGGAACTCTACTCTCTTTTAAAGGGAAAAAAAGTTTGACGTTTTTGCTGATTGCTCGCAAATTGTGCACAGATGCAACGACAAACCTTTCACGTATACACTATAGGTAATAAGGTTCCGTACAAAATAAAAAAGTTCGACCATGCCCATCCAAAATCTAAAAACGTTTTCTATTATAATTCATTTAGATGAGAGAAATAAATTTTAAGACTATATGTAGGATGAGGAGGAGCAGCATTTCAGAGTATCGGCTTTTTTTCTTTTTCCTTTTATAGGTAGACTAGATGGTCGGCTACTAGAGATAAAACTTTTATTAATATTATATTATCATAGTTAATATAAAGGTGACGAGCACAAAAGAATCTCTTGGTGGGGTGAACAAGTGTTAAAATTTTTTGCCAAAATTGAAGTTACTTTCTACTCTTTTTAATATGCAAGGGAGCAAACTTAATAACTTCAAACAGCTCTCGAAAGTCTCTCTTACGTGCGGATCTCATATTTAATATGCACGATTATATATATGTATTTTGATGCCATGCATAGTTATATGTATATATACTTATACGCAGCACTTAATAAGTTCGTTATACGGTTAGGCAGTGAAACAATCACATTTTGTCAACCGGAATGTCATGAAATTTTAATGCAATTCCTTTATAGGTTAATGTCTGTTACTGTCGAAATATTTGTTTGGTTGTGCCAAACTCATTTTACATCTGCATATCATCCTAAGAACTTATTGAGTGTTCTGTTATCCATGTCTAATCTATATATAATTATATAAGGAAGAATCGCATTTATCGATAAAATTCAGTTATAACGAACTGGGTATCGTGTGTTTTGCCCAATTCTTTGTCCATAAAGAAGAACCTTTAGACCTTCACGAATAATGGATATATTATGTGTTATAAGACTTATCACATATGGAGAATATCTCTAAAATTCACACACTATGCTAATGGATGCGTGGATTAAATAACAATAATTTATATTAATTATTTTAATTATATAAAACCGCAAAAGCTATCTGAAATAATTAAATCTAGCAAAATAAACAAAATTAATTAAGTAAATAACTTTTCTTGTACTTCCGTAGAGCACAACTCATTTCGATTCGTTTATTGTGCTGTTAGTTGATTTTGTGTCTTAAAGTGAAGCGCACTTCAGTCGCTAACTCAATATTATGGACGCGGAAGCGATTGTCACCATCAAAGAGTTTTTTGACTTTCCCTTTAAGTTTTGCTCTACATTAGGCATTCGTTTATATAAGTGGTCGAAAAGTGAGCGTACGACAATCGTGCAAATAATTTTACTAACTAATTTGCTCCTGCACACAAGTTTGTATCCGATACTTCTTGTTATTTATCAAATAAATATGGACCCGGATGATATTTTGGGTCGTACCACCTCGCTTGCGATTTCTTTATTTTGTGTAAACGCAGTAACAAAAATATTATGCGTAGCGATGCAGCACAAGAAGTTAGGTAAAATTATTCATAAATTAATAAAATACTTTCCGACGACATTCAAGGGTCAAGAAGATTTCAATTTACATTATGAATTCACGACTATGCGACGTGTTAGTAGCATTATGCTGTGGAATCATTTGTTGACTGCCGTCCTTTTTGATATTACGCCCCCCATGACTTTTGTTATAGAGTACGTAAGGAGTGGCGGTAAAAAACAATTCAACTTCATTTTACCTTATGGTATATGGTATCCATGGGATTACCATAAAATCGGTGCGTTTATCTTTACATATATGACGCAAGTGTTGGGGTCCTATGTTGCGGTCATCGCCTATGTTGTTCCGGACTTACTATTGATTTCAGTTGTCGCCTTAGCGAACATGAATTTCAGATATATAAGCAAACTTATTCGCGAATTTCACCCAAACTTTTGAAATCCTCATTAGTCCTTGTTGGGTGAAATTATGGACTATCATGATGATATCTTAAGGTAAGTAAAATATGTAGATACGTTGCTAGTCTATTTTTCTTAATATTTTATTGTTTAGCATGATTGATGAAGTGAACGATGTGTTTAGCTTGTCAATCTTGTTAAGTTTTTTCGGTTTTGGTGGCATGTTATGTTTAGTAGGTTTTAACGTAGTGGCCGGCAACAGCATTGTCGATATTTTAACTTATCTTCTCTTTATATCGTCCATTCTATTGATAATGTATTACTTGTCTGCATATGGCACGAAAATGATTACATTGGTAAGTAGAAAGGCAATTGCAATCAGATTCAAGAGAATACAAAAATCAATCATATTTCAGAGTACGGATGTTAGTGTAGCTTTAGCTGATCATTCATGGTATGACGGCAGCGTATACTATCAACGTATGTTGCCATTTCCTATAGCCAGAGCTCAAAGGCCAGCTCAACTGCTAGCTTATAAGTTCTTTGTGGTTTCAATGGAAAGTTTTCAATCGGTAAGACGGTACAGACATTGACTACTTTTTCATGATTTATTTATTTATTTATTTATTATTTTTGTAGCTACTAACAACGTCTTATCAATTATTCACTTTGATTAAAACCCGTTATGACGAACAACGTTGAATGAATCTTTAAGAATTTCCTGGATCCCAAGCACACCTAATCTTCTTAACGCTTATCGTACCGCTTGCATTGCATCATAACACATATTATATATTAAATTAAATAAATAAGGAAATTAATGTACCCTACGGAGAATGTCTATTGTTTTTCGATTAATTACTTTTATGACATTGAACAGCGAAATGCATCATCAATGTTAGCATTTTACTTGTACTGATTGCATAAGAGGGGCACAAGTTCTGGAGGGGAACGCTTTTCATGAATTGCTTCAAAGCATATGAACATTTGTTCATATATTTGCTCGCCTCTGATCTTGATAAGTTTTTCAATTCAATTTAATGCTGCTCCCTGTAATGCAATTGCACTCAACTATGCTTAATTGGGTCTATCAGGGTCTAATATTATTGTTATTCAATTGAATGTTCTTGAAATCTTCATTACACTTATTTCTCGAAGTAGTGAATATGTTTACCGCAGACATTACGCGCACAAGCAGACTAACAAACGGGCATTAACGCATACGTACCGTGTTGTAGTGAAGTCGTACGAACACGCAATCTAGACAATTACCGGTTAAATGCTTAAGTTGAGAGATAGTTTACCAAAATGTCGAGTGCGGAAAAAAACACAAAAATAGTTTCCCTCGCTTTTTTAATATGAAAATAATGAGAAAGGGCGCAAATGCGTTGTACTTGAGTCATGGCTTCGTGGGGTGGTGGGGTTTCATGGAGTTTTCAGAATCAGCCAAAAAGCTAATTCAAGTCAGACGCTCAGACAGGTATGTAAATGATCGAGGCATATAACAGCTAACAGCACATAAGGATCCGTCCGATAACAGTAATTCGAGAAAGTTTATTGAGTAAATAAATTTCCAAAATTGAAATTTTATTCTATTTGTAGAAAAATCTCCGATCAAAGCACTTGAATTTAAAAAGTAAACCCAAATCTCTAAAAGTTGAAGTAAACAAATGTTTTTTTTTTCTTTTTTTTGTTCTGTGATTTGAACCGCAATTAAAATAAAAATGCTTTCGTTCAACATTCACTTGCAAATAAATGCTAAGGAGTACTGGCTTGGCTTTATGTAAATAAGAAGAACATTGAAATGTATTTAAATATTTGTGGTAAAAAAGAAAAAGAAAAAAAAAAAAAAAAAAAATACAAGAAAAAGTACAAGAAAAAGAAAAAATAAATATAAGGATATAACGAAAGTTTACATTTTTTTTTTTCTCAAAAATTTATATCCGAAAAGTAAACCAAAGCCATAAAAATTCATGCTATGTTTGGTTTTTCTTTGTAACTATGAAAATCAAGTAATTAAAAATTTTCTAAAAAATTGATTTAAGAGATAACTTTTGTTTTCTTTCTTAAATTGAGAACGCTCCTATGCATATTCCTATATATATATATAATCTTTTTAAAATAAATATTTCTTGACCATGTGTGTGTGTGTGTGTGAGGATAACCTTGTACAAATAATCTTTATTTCCGGTCAAAAGCTTTTAAAAGTCGGTTTTTTTTTTTTTGTTTTATATAAAGAGAGCAAATAATAAGATTTGCGAAGAGTATTATATAAAACTAGAGGCGATCCTTTTTTACTTGATACTTGCTATTCACTGCATTATATTCTTATTTATTTATCCGTATTATTATTATTATTATTATTATTATTTTTTTTTTTTTTTTTTTTTTTGTTAAAAGAAGTCTTTCAAATATATGTAAACCATAGCATGTTAAGATTAAACGGTAACCGTTTCAATTAGTTATCGAAATATTCTTTCGTGAAGCCTACAAATGCATAATTACTTGATTCTTGCAATTCTGTTGACTAACATTCCCGTTTTTTTTTTTTTTTTCGCTTGCCCTCACCTTACTTACAGAGAAGATCCCAAAATTTAAGGCTAAATTTGGTAGAATATTTTCCAAAAAAGTTGAACAAAGTATGAACGAACAGACATCCAAAAAGGCATAACTGAATCCATGCGCTCTTATTATAAGCCAATAGGCCACACATTGACGCATTGTTTGTTAGCTTGCACATACATAACACATATATAAATGAATCCTTTCTTTTCGTTTCTTTTCTTTTCTTAACATATGAGAAGTAAAATGTCTGCCGCATGCGAGCAACACCTCAAACTATGTAGCTGGGGTATCTGGTAACGTCTGCACATTAAGCTAAGACATCTGGAAAAGAAGCATAATGATCATTGTAAGAGCGGAGGCACGTGCAAGAAGTTGAATGAAATAAAGGCAAATAGAATCCAACTATGTCGATATATTGTATACATCGAAATCAAAATTTTGATAGCATTTTTCGATATACATATGCGTAAAAAATGCAGTTTCGATGTGAAATGAAATTCATCTGCCATAAAATACCAGGCGAATTATGCAGGATCTTAAAATTAAATCTTTTACTTGACATTAGAGGCATTAGCTTTTATAAAATAAAATGAATAAGAAAAATGAAGAAAGAGAAAGAGAAAAAAGAACACCACGTATAAATAGAAAGCAAAAGGGATAAGAGCATAAGCATTTCTAATAAAACGTTACATTCGTAGCCGGAGTGAATCGCTTAAGCGACGCAAACATGCAGAATCTTGTAAGTACGTAACGTTGTCGTGGGTAAGTGAATATGAAACCGGAACACAGGTTTATTGAATCAAAAATTTCAAATATTACATACAGCTACCTATTCGTCTATGTAGAGGGACGAAGTCTTTAAAAATCTTTCTCTTTTACAGTGAAGTCTTCATCCTGGCCTTTTCCTTATATCTTCGTACGAGGCAAAGCGTTGCTTGGCAGTATTATAGGATATCAAAATTCAAATTTTTTTTTTTTTTCTCAATACATTTATAAGGGGAAAAAAACGAGTTTCGAAAACCCAATGAATGGAAGGCACCTAAGCATGTCCGTCTGCCCAACTGTGTATGCAGGTGACGTCAACTTTTCAAAGGCACCGGACAAAGAGTATAAAAATTTAGTTCTTTCACTTTTTTTTGCCTTTTTTTTTTTTTTTTTTTTTTTTTTTTAGAATAACAATGATGGATACAAGGGATTCGGTCAAGCCCGAATATAATTTTCTTACTTGTTTAATTTGTAGGGTTTGGCAGAACCTTCTCAAAGCCCTTTTGAAAAATATGCACTAAATTCGCGTAATGGTCTTATTCCAAGCGACAGTTCGCCTTTCATCTAAACTGTTAAGCTTTTTTGCCGGGTAGTTTATAGTTTACCATGACATTTAAAAAAAAAATAAAAAAAAAAATAAAAAAATTTAATAAAAAATAAACTTTTCGAATTTTGCATAAGAGATCATAAATTTTGTTATAACCTGCTTTGTTGAAGTTAGAGACAAAGCAATATAAGCGCATATAAGCGCGTTTATTTTTTACACACGTACAAGTTAACAGCAAAACAAAAACGAATACAGGAACAACAATTTATTGAATGCTTCTTCTTGATTACATTTATTGAACTTCCTGTTTGGTCAATTACGGTTTTCGTGATCGTTAGCTTAGTTTATTAGAAGTGATGAAAAGATGAACAGACAAAACCGGTAAAAATGGTTTAAAGAAATGCGTAAAAATTATTCAGAAAATTTACATCGTTTGAATATATGGACGGAGAAAGGGCCTTAAGCCTAAGCTCTTCAAAGTCGTTGTCTTCAAAGAAAAAAATAAATTAGATTAAAAAAAAAATTGTCTAAAGGATTAAGATAATATAAAATAAAATAATAATAATAGTAATACTAATAATAATAATTATAAAATGCAATGTGTAAACATGATGTAAAGAAGAGAAGCCATTTACATAATGTTTTTTTTTTTTTTGTTTTTTTCTTTTTTCGTTTATAAAAACTCATCACCAACTATTTAAACGTTCGTACATATACAATGTATATGCGTGGCCAGGTTTTATCTTCTTAACTGTAAAGATGGCAAAATAAAGGATTTGCACATTTAGGGATTCTTTGCCGCTGCCAAGGCTCGGGTAAAGTAAAGTAAACACGTTTTCCAACAGCCCAGCAAAGAAGAAACTTGTTTTTACTTAAACTTTGTAAACTTTAATAATGCCACGAAGCCATGTAAACAGGCAGGCAACTACTAACTGTAAAAAAGCAAAACACACAAATTTCGTTTCTTTTTGGCTAAAGTAAATGCCAGTTTAAATTACAGTTTTTATTTAACTAAATACAAAAAAAAAAAAAACAAAGCAAAGCAACAAAAGAAAAAAAAAAAAAAAACCAACTAGAAATTTCTAATGGCTTCCTAGCGTTACTCGGTACATTTGATGGAAAAACTAGTTGCTGCATTCGCACTACAGGCAGAGATTAGAGAGAGATTTAAGTAATTTTCTTGGTCACATTTATTATACACTTTTGACTGAAAAAATAATTAAAATTATAGCGAAAAAATAACAAGTTAAATTGTTATTTTAATTTAGAAAAAAACAAAAAACAAAAAATAAAAACAAAAATTGTAAAATATTAAAAATTATCGTAGCTTTCAAGCGATGCATTCCTTTGAATACGTTTTACAGCAAAGAAAAACTAATATATATTTATATATATATATATATCTATATATATATATACATATATATGTACATATACGAACTCTTTTCATTCATTTAACTAATTTCAGTATTTACTAAAAATATTTAGGCGGATTTAGGCTCACAAATCGGGCTCAGAAACAAAAGTGTATTCTCTTAGAAACCACCATGAAGCATATATTCACGTTCTTAAGTCTAGATCACTTCACGTTAGAAAATTATTCGTCATAAAATATCAATAATTATGCCTTGCTTCTAAGTAAAAGTATAGGTCCGTTAAGGGGCGATAGTCCAAAATGTACACTGACGTGGTCCAAATTTAGCAAAATTAATTTTCGTTTGATAAAAATCTGATTACTCTTCATCGATTCTCGCTATAGCGAAGTGACAGCTAGACTTTGTTGCCAATATAAAGAATTATTACATCTTACAATTACAATTATTTTCACGTAACAAATTTTCTAAGCCAAGTCGTTGTAACGGGCGCGTAAAAATGGTTCGATACTATCCATTTTCAATAAGGTCCAAAACCTAGACCCGCCTTCAGGCCTTTTGAGTGATACGTTCATGTAAACTACATCACGACTGCTGTAGTGTATAAAGGGTAGAAAAATCCTTCTGTCCACTCGCAACACTGACAACACTGTCTGTCCATCAAATGCACCGTTTTACAAAAAAAAAAAAAAAAAAAACAAAAAAAAAGACATGATACCAAGCATTTACGCTTTAGAAAAGGAGAAAAATGTCTTGCGGTTTGATTTATGTGAATTCATACCTTCTTAAGCGATACATTGATTCGTTCACATGGGCTTATAAGTAATCATTCAAAATAGATAAAATTCACTTTATCTGTTATACCTGTAATATGCAAATACTTTGGCAAGCGCATACGAACTTGATAAACAAACATATTAATTAGCATTATAAGCGTCCTGATCTATATTCACATATTTGCGGATTCGCATAGTTATATGCACATATTTGTAAGGAATATTATAGCGCGCACTTAATCATCTGCCTTTCTAAATATTTACCACGTATGGATTGCAATGCTGAGCATATCAAAATCGATAGGGATATTCATGACAGAGCGGCAAGTTGTAAAATCTGAAAATATATATAGTGTACGAGCAAAGTAATTTTCAATTTCACTCAGGTAACTACTTACTAGGATTGCTGAGTTTTGTGTTTATGCGAGCCTTCAACGAGTGCAGTGTCAGGAACAGAATCATTATTTGTCCTGTTGAATATGAAACCCGCTCATCTTAATGGCCTAAAGCTCAGTCCGTCAGACACACAACTAACTATCGCATGCGATAAGTAGAGAGGTTGTTCTATTATTATCCTCCTTGAGTTTTGGGAGTTTCAGACCTATCCTAACAGATCTTTTAGTATAATCTTGAGTTTTCACTGCTTCAATACATTGTATCAGCCATGCATACGCGCAAACCGCAGAGTGTTTGGCTTGCCAATTGTCATCGCATGGAGCAGGTAGGCATTCATAGTTCAAAAACGGCGTAAACTTCAAAAATGAAACATTTATGG